TCCCCGCCCGGAGCGGGCCCCCCTGCCCCTGGACAGCGGCTCGGACCACGTCATGCAGCGCGATGTCTGGCTGGCTGTCTTCCAGCACCTCAGCTACCGCGAGCTCTGCGTCTGCATGCGCGTGTGCCGGACCTGGAGCCCCAGCTGCAGTAACCACGGGCATCGCTGGGGGCGCTGTGCGGATGTGAGGTTGCAGTACTGCTCCACGGGGCCAGGGGGCGCTGCGTTGCAGTCCCACCAGGGGCCACGAGAGGGTCCTGGGGTTGCAGGGTGGAGGCTGCCATGCAGTAGGAGCCTCATGCACCACTAGGGGGTGGTGGGCAATATGCAGGTCCCAGGTGCACCACTAGGGGGCGCTGTGCTGCAGAGAGCAGGGCAGGGCCCATCAGGGGACACTCTCCTAGTAGGCAGGGCTGGCCCACTGCCCCAGGGTAGCGCATGGGGGCGCTGTGGGGCAGGGCCCATCAGGGGGCACTCCCCTAGTAGGCAGGAATTCCCTGTCTCCCCACCCCAGGTCATTGCTGTGGTGGGGCAGCAGAACGTGGAGGGGAAGCGGATCCCATTTGGCTTCAAGCACCGCACGCTGCCCCATTTCATCAAGGACGACTACGGGCCTGAGAGCCGGGGCTTCGTGGAGAATTCCTACCTGGCTGGCCTGACACCCACCGAGTTCTTCTTCCACGCCATGGGTGGGCGTGAGGGTCTCATTGATACAGCCGTCAAGACAGCCGAGACGGGTGAGCTGCTGGTACTAGGGGCTGCTGTGCTGTGGGTGGGGCCTCGCAGGGCTTGCTCTCCCCTGGCAGGTAGGGCTGGCCCAGTGCCCCAGGGCGGTGCGAGGAGGCACTGTGGGGCAGGGAGCGGGCCAGGGCCCAGCAGGGCTGGCCCAATGCCCCTGAGTGGCGCTAGGGGGCGCTGTGGGGCAGGGAGCAGGGCAGGGCCCAGCAGGGGGCGCTCTCCCCTGGCAGGTAGGGCTGGCCCAGTGCCCCAGGGCGGTGCGAGGAGGCACTGTGGGGCAGGGAGCGGGCCAGGGCCCAGCAGGGCTGGCCCAATGCCCCTGAGTGCCACTAGGGGGCGCTGCGACTGACTCTATGGGTGGGTTTCCTGAGCCTTGACTGCAGTGGGGCTGTCAGGGACTCAAACAAGGGCTGGGTTCGTGGCCTGTGTGTCTACCATGGGGCAGGAGGAGGGGGTCCCATGCACAAGATGTGGGGTAGAAGGTGCTGGGGGTTGTGGGTCCCATGGGGTGGGAGAGAGGGGGTCCCATGGGTGAGATGTGGGGCAGGAGGTGCAGGAGGGCTGTGGGTCCCATGGGTGAGATGTGGGGCAGGAGGGCAGTGGGTCCCATGGGGCACTGCAGAAGGTGCAGTGATCTCTGGGGCCACAAGGGGGAGCTGTGGGGTGGAGACTTGCTGCAGGAGGAAGGAGGGGCAGGCCTGTACCGTATTGTCTGGAAACCGGAGCCTTTACCATATTGCTTGTAAAAACACCGCGGGGTCGCTTGGCACCTTAGAGACGCTTAAGCTTTCGTGGGCGACGCCCAGTTCACCAGAGGGTGGGAGCGAGGCCAGTAGCAGGGGTCTGCAGAAGCTGCGCGTGTGAATGAGGCGAAGCAAGTCGGGGCGGCAGTGCGAATAGCCAGAGCGGGGACGTTGCCTTCGTCGTGTTACCCAGGGAGCCAGACTGGCCGGGTAAGTGCTGGTTAACAGTCTTTGGGAGCAGGCTGGCGACTTCGAAATCCAGGCCTGAATTGCCTGGCGGGTTCAGACGTCCCCTGCGTGTTCCCTGCCCTGACGTCGGACAGAGACCGTCCAGCGGGGCCAATGCCCAGGGCCGGGGACCTGGCTGGCACTTGATGCCGTCGTGTTACCCAGGGAGCCAGACTGGCCGGGTAAGTGCTGGTTAACAGTCTTTGGGAGCAGGCTGGCGACTTCGAAATCCAGGCCTGAATTGCCTGGCGGGTTCAGACGTCCCCTGCGTGTTCCCTGCCCTGACGTCGGACAGAGACCGTCCAGCGGGGCCAATGCCCAGGGCCGGGGACCTGGCTGGCACTTGATGCCGGAGGTGCTGTGGTTAGCTCCTGTGTCGGTGTCGCTTGTCTAGATGTGCGCAGGGAGCGGGCACCGGGGTTTGTGGCAGGGGCAGGCCCCTGGGGGGGTGTCTGAGGTGTGGTGTGTGGCTGCAGGCTTGGGGGGCTGGGTGTAGAGGATTGGCCTGTCTCCCAAGGCCCGGGGGGAGGGGGAGAAATCGTTTTCCGGGGAGCTGGAGTGTCAGTGATGCGCGGGAGGGCTATAGGTGCTGACCAGTGCCCGGTGCTGCCATGC